TCTAGATCAGACCACCGCTAAAGATACGAACTCTGTTAGTTTTAATTTTGAAGAGCAAAAATCTTTTAACAAGCTTGAATTTGATATTATGGCAATTCTGAATTTGCAGCGGAAGCGACATCAATGTCTTTTGTGCCTGAAGGATTACACTTCTGTTAGTTGATGCCTTGTCAGTGAAATTTTCTTTGAAAATTGAGTCCATACACGTAAAGAAATAAAATATTTCTTTCGAAACATAGGCATGAGGCCTTCCGCTCGCATTTGCTAGTAAACATGAGAATTTGCCATAACTTTTATCAAACGGAGACACAGTTATACCAACAATCAATACGAAACTAACGATTTTAAATTGGCTCACTACTTGACTAGCCTATTGGTCCCAAGCAAACGATTAACGTACCCTATTCTAGTTGAAATTCTATTAAAAAAAAAAAAAATATTACTACACTATGTTTGTTTTGATTCGCTATGAAAGTTTGACAGATAACATCAGGGGTGTGTGGATTCATGCAAAACATGCAGAGGTGAGTGAAATAGCTTGGGACTGCTTGGGACCGTTGTTCTGGTACTGAGTGAGCCAAAAATAATAATGATTTTCTTCGGGACCCTAATCGCTAATCGATTCACCCCTCGAAACAAAGGAAAATCCAATAACCCCTCATTTTATCTGTCAAACTTTCATAGCGAATCAAAAAAAAACATTGTGTAGTACTAGAATTTTGACTAGAATAGGATACGTTAATCGATTTGCTTGGGACCAATAGGCTAGTCAAGTAGTGAGCCAATTTAAAATCGTTAGTTTCGTATTGATTGTTGGTTATACAATCTTGTATACCTACAGTAGGAGCATGAAGTGCTGTTCTTTCTTATGCTTCCCATTAGATATCCTGCAATGTGAAATAAGGCGTTAGTTTCGGCATTATTCAAATTTAGAAGGATCTGTTTCGCCATAGTTGAAAAATCAAGAGTTTCTTCCAGGATCGCTGTAGATTGCGTTGAAGAAGCTTGCTCTGCGTTGTTCAAGTGATCCATAAATCCTGACAAATATTCTCTGTCGTGCATGTTGTAAAAAGAATTTTTGACGACTACCGGGTCTGAATCCTCTTCGGTGATCATCTTTTTCATCACCAAAAGCAACCCATTCAGGCACCACAGCAGAAAAGTTCGCGTAGTTATGATCCAGAAGAGCCGGCGAAGAATAGAGGGGACGGGATTTATAAAAGTCCAACAACCGATCGCTCTCTTCCGGTTCGTCTTCAGGAGGTAGCAAGAAAGCTTCAATCGACGGAACGGGAACGGCATCTTTTTTTCGTTTTCTTCCCATTTTTATCGACGCGGAAGCAGTCCTCTAAGAAATGGGCCTGCAAATAATTAAAAAAGATCATAGCAACATTGATAAAATGAAAAACACTTGTACCGTCAACACACGCTACAGACTCGCGAGCTTGGTTTAATTTCGCCGGTTCCGGAATCCATCCGACAGAACTTAATCCATAGGGATCTTGTGATATAATCAGTAGGAAAGCGCAAAAAACCCAATCCAGGATAATTTTCGGCTGTTTCGGCCGCAGTATTTCACCTGACACTTCATTTTGGCTGATTCACTACGAGTCTCTACAAGTGATTTTTCAACTCCAACTTCACACAAGCATTAAGTCATTCGACAATAACACGTAAACAACAGAGACACGAAAAACCGAAACCCCTCATTATGGGAACAAATTACTTGATAATTTTTATTTGCCAAGAATTTTCTTGCGCAATATTGTGATTGATTTATTAGATTTTGTGTGTAGTATTTGCTTCTCCCTCCCAGGATAGGATGAATTGAAATTTTCAGCACGTTGAAAACTGTATGAGACATTTGGGTAAAAATGGGATAATCCTTAAGTGTCGTTCCCCCTGGATAATACACACAAAAAATAATCGTTAATAAATTAAAAAAAAAACATTGGTAAAATTAAAAGTTAGCGTTGGTTCTTTTTGGTAGAAAGTATTTAGCATTCAAAACTAAAGTCCCCTAACTGTCAATTCAAAACTCTGTCTACTTTTAAAAGTTGAAACTTTCAAATCGAATTGTAGAACTGTCAAACTAAAAACCTATAGTTTTTAAATTGACGTATAACAAATTTTAATTCAAATGATAAGCATTTTAATCGCAATTACATGCGTTTTTATTTTAAATCAATAACTTTTATTTTTTAAAAGAAATAACAAGGGAAATTCATTTTATTCTAATTTATTATAATGAGAGAGAGAAGGATTAGTATTTTCCATTTAATTCCACTACTTTATTTGCTTATCCTTGACAGATACGCGTATTTCGTCTACAATGTGCAGACTTCTTCAGTGTCTTGTACTAATACTCGACTATTAGTCGTATATAAGTCGAGTATTAGTACAAGACACTGAAGAAGTCTGCACATTGTAGACGAAATACGCGTATCTGTCAAGGATAAGCAAATAAAGTAGTGGAATTAAATGGAAAATACTAATCCTTCTCTCTCTCATTATACAGGTATTCCACTAAGACGCCCACATTCATCAGGATTCTAATTTATTATTTATAACAATTATATTGTCGATTTCAAAGCAGCAGAAGTGACACTCCCGATACTTTTACAATATGAATTGTATTATTTTACAGATTGTTGATCAAAGCTGGAATAATTTGCTCCTGACGGACTCGGTGTGGAGGTACTTGAATGAAAGTGGCATCTTGATGGGGGTGGGAGTCGAGGTGGGAGTAACCTTCCTTTCCGGCAAGACTGAGGCTACTGAAAATTAAAACATCTCAATTAGAGCAATCGGAAATTCATTGAAAATTATACCAAATTACCGTCAATTCCAGCACATGAATTGTTTCTTTTGCCCGAGAGCGCCATCATTGCCTCCATGTTACGATAGAGTTTATGTTTCATCTAAGATTGCTTCCCTCCGTTGGCTGCTTTGACGATCACCTGCAATCCGATGAAAATGAATTAGCGGTGGCGTACCACTTTTTGGGAACCGATTCCAGTTCCAAAGAGATACCGACGGAAGAGTAGTGTGGAAACATAGAAGACACAGTAATATCAACAATCAATACGAAACTAACGATTTTAAATTGGCTCACTACTTGACTAGCCTATTGGTCCCAAGCAAACGATTAACGTACCCCATTCTAGTCGAAATTCTAGTACTAAGCAATGTTTGTTTTAATTCGCTATGAAAGTTTGACAGATAAAATGAGGGGTTATTGGTTTTTCCTATGTTTCGAGGGGTAAATCGTTTAGCTTGGGACCGAAGATAGTACCAGAGCTGAGCCAAAAAGTTGAGCACGTTATTTCGGGACCTTCTAGTCTTATACCCTGGACAGACTATGGCTTATATCATGCAATATAGACTGTCTTGCAATGAGCACTCATACATAGGATTTCCAGTGAAAACTAGATGTATGAGTGCTCATTGCAAGACAGCCTATATTACATGATATAAGTCATAGTCTGTCCGGGGTATTAGAGTTACCTCTATGGTAATATGGTTTATTTTTCACGCTTTCAAATTTAGCGGCAAACGAAGGTCAAGTGATGCCAAAATCTTCGCAATGACGAGGAAGTTTTGCAAGAACTGCGACTTTTATTTAAAAAAAATTAACTTTTGAAATTGGGTTCTTTAGTTTTGAAAAATGAATTGTTTTTTATACATCATCCGAAAGAGCTCCGTTTTCTGAGCACAGCAAATTTTTTTTCGAACCCGCTAACTCGATTTAAAGCAAAATAATAACTTCACTGTTTGACACTAAACTAACAAACTGACAGCTCGCTCCCATACAAAGTGACACCAAGGGGCGCTAATAAGGTGATTTTTGATAATGTAATCGTACTTATTTAAAATAGTTCCAATGTGCCAATATTGATGAAATTTTGGGTTTGGGTTCCACTTTTAATGCAGATTACGAATATGCATTTGCCTCAATAGCCTTAAAGAACAACAACAAGTTGAAATTGAAAGAAACACTTTTAATCCGAAAAAAATGTTTTGATTTTGAATATTTTCGTTGTTAAAACTACGAAATTGGAGAAACTTTTAAATTTAAAGTTTTATTATTTTTATAGGAACAATTTTTGTTCTTTGTGTGAGTTATACACTGAAACAAAGACCATAGTTAGGAATACTATTTTGCAGAAAACACTTATTTTCAGTATAACTACGCTTAATGCCGTTAAATCTACCATGATTTCAGTATAGTTGACTAAAAATATAATCAAATTTACTACCATTCTGTCAAAATTACTATGCTTACTCAAACGGCATAGTAGTTTTGATAGAAAAAATAGTAAAATTAAATAAATTTCGTTTCTGCACAAATCTATTGGTGGGAGTATTTAATTTAAACCATCAATATAGTATTTTTGCCAATGGATTTTGTTTCTGTGTAGGGCTTGAGTGAGGCAATAATCATTCGATGCTAGGATGATGTTTTGGTTCAGTTAGCACAAAAGACTTAATTTTGAGTTATTTCGTTTAACCGTGCATACACGGTAAGAAAAAAGTACCCAACGGCCAGTTCACTTTTACGTACTTTTGACTAGTTTGTCTCCTTTTCTCCTTCTAATGTTGTCAAAAACGGAGGAGCAAAACCACCCAACGGGGGTTCTAAAGTGTGGGAACTCAACGTTGAGTATAATCATATTTACCTACTGTTGGGTACAACTAACTTACTTTTGGTTAAAAAGCCAGTGGAAAATTCCATACGAACTGCACACAAGTAAATGAAAAATACTTAGACCCGCTTTACCTACTTTTGGGTTCCTGCACTATAGTGCCGAGATGAGTGAAAAGAACATAATTTTGGGTACTTTTTTCTAACCGTGTATACATTAAACCGAAACATTCAGCATCATTTACACTTACCGCAAACGTCAAAATCAGCTGACGATTAACTGCATTTATATCGAGATTTATATTTTCCCCTGCTTGCGTGTGCATAATAAGCAGCGGCAAGAGCAGCAGCTACGCAAGTTGCTTTTCAATAAATTGTGTTAAGAAAAACAGTTGAATCTTGTTGAATTTACAATCGAAAAATTGGCCAAACATTCCCAGAAAATGGACAGCTGGTTGAAGGAACGCCTCTCCAAGTGCCTGTGCTTCGAAGTACCGGACGAAATGATTGGGTAAAGTAGGAGAGTGGCGGAAGCCGCAACTTTCGGAACATTGTGCAATAATTGCTTGTTGCTCATTTTCAGATACATTCTCACCATCCGGGGCAATCAGGAGCTGGACGAATACTTCAAAAGTCTTCTGGATTCCGGCAATCCGGAACACGTTACTTTCCTGAACGATTTCAAACAACGATTGAGTAGGTGCTTCTTACATTGTTTAACAACAATTGTTTTTGATAATCCTTTTCTGTAGGAAAAAGCCCATCGGAAGGTCGCGGTGGCAAGAATCAGAAATCCGGTAAATCACAGCAGCAACCGAATAAACCACTGCAGCCGCAGCAACAGCAACCGCGTCAATCAAAGCTTCCGGAACCGGTTCCGAAACCGGACCCCCCAGCGGCTGTAAGTGCCCCGATCAGTCAGGGAGCGGTCAAGAAGAAAACCAAATACGTTAGCCTGTACGATCAGGAGGGTCGTACCAATGTGGTCCTGATCAAAGGCCGGCACCTGTGCGATTGCCAAGCTTCCAAGCACAAACTGATCAACAACTGTCTGCACTGCGGAAGGATCGTTTGCGAGCAGGAAAGCAGCGGACCGTGTCTGTTCTGTGGAAGCTTGGTGTGCACCGACGAGGAGCAGAAGATGATTGACAGTTCCTCCAAGAAAGGGGACAACCTCAAGCGCAGTCTGATGGATCAGAACCGTCCGAAGGGATGGGAGGAAGCGGTTGCCACGCGCAATCGACTGCTGGAGTACGACCGGAACAGCGAGAAGCGAACGGTCGTTATCGACGATGAGTCGGATTACTTTAAGGCGAACTCGGTTTGGTTGTCGGACGCGGAACGGAAAAAGATGGAAAAGCTGGAAGCTGAACTGCGGGAGAAGAAACATGCCAGTCGGATGAGTCGGAAGGTGACGATAGATTTTACTGGACGCCAAGTGGTGGAAAAACCGCAACTGGCCATCGAGGTGGAAGATGAGATTTTGAAAAAAATAGCCGAATCCGTTGGGCCAGAGAAGGAGAATGCGGGTGCGCGGGGCGGGTGGAACAATAGGAAGGAAATTGAGGATCGATCGGATGATATTCACCCGGGGATTGTCGGGGAGCCGCCGATTGTGAGTATTTTTTCGGTGATTTTTGATGCAGGGATTTATGTTGCAAATTTGTGACTTTCAGTTTATCGATTTGGGAAGTGGCATCTCATCGACCCGAAGTCCGTTGGGTGCGAAAAATGGTTCTCATTTCGACGGGGTTTACAGTAAGGTCCAGGATAAGGAATTTCTCGAGATGTCCGACCTGCGCCATTGCATTTCGATGCACCAACCGTGGGCTTCGCTGTTGGTGGCGGGAATTAAGAAGCACGAAGGTCGCACTTGGTATTCTTCGCACAGGGGGCGTCTGTGGATTGCAGCTACGGTCAAACCGGCTGACATGGAAGTTGTCAAGCAGATGGAGAACTTCTACCGGGTACTGTACAATGACGGTGGGATAGAGTTTCCCTCGCAGTATCCTTCGGGGTGTTTGCTGGGTTGTGTTTCGGTGCAGGACGTTCTACCGCAGGAGGAATACCGGAAGCAGTACCCGGAGGGCGAGTCGGAGAGTCCGTTCGTGTTCGTTTGTACGGATCCGCAGGAGCTGCCCATTCGGTTCCCCGTCAAAGGGCAGCATAAGATTTGTGAGTTTCCCGATTCGTCGGTTGTGGGTGACGAATTTTAATGATAATTTTGAAATTTGTACTTGCAGACAATCTGGATTCGAAGATTCATCAGGCCGCGGTCAAGTCGCTTCAGCGACTGTCGAAGCTCAAAGCAGAGGAATGAAAGGTTCAATAAGCGTGATTCGAACTAAAATACATTTATTCCTCAATAAAATGCAGTAACCTTAATTTAAATTTTCCAACAAATAAATGGCTTCGTTGTCTCCGCCGCAAATGATCTTCGAACGACAGGAATCGAATGAGTTGATTGCCTTCCGGATGCCACTTAGCAGTGAGGTAACGTTGATCTTGCTCTTGGCTCGTTCCCCGTTCAACCATGGATTGTTGGTATCCGACGAAGAAGATTCGTTCACCGTTGTAGTTCCGCTCAACATTCCACCGGTGGCCGTTGGCATAGTATTCTGATTCCACTGCCACAATTCGCCGCCCTCGGACGCAGAGAAAAGCCTGGATGGTTGCGTTCGGTGGAACGCCAACTCACTGATCGCGTGGTCGTGTGCCTTCAGGTAGGAAGCTGGAAACTGTGGCTGTCTCAGGTCCCAGACGGTTATCGAACCTTCCTCGCTACCGGCTAGAATCTGAAAGTTAAACTTGAGTTAAATTCTCCTACATTAAACGGGATATGATGACTTACGATATGCCTCTGCGTCGGATGGTATGCAATACAGGTGACACAGTTGGATCGCTTTTCATCCTCACAGGATACCGCGAAGCTACCGACCGCTTTCTGACCCTCGGCCCGGATGTCAAAGCACTTAATTGTTCCCAACCGGTTACCAGTGAGCACTTCCTTCGGATTCAGAAATGCCACACAGCTGATGGTGCAACTATCGGCACTGGCAATGCTCCGGAGCACCGACTGGCTAACCGTGGACAAAACATTCAAGCGGCCGTCTTCACCAACGGTTGCCACATCGGTGTCGTGTACCGACAGTCCCGTGCACGGTGCAGCATTCAAGCTGCTGAACGTGTCGAACTTGTGCAGGTCACTGAATCGATGCCGTTCCTGGAGATTGTTCTCGTCTTTCTCCCGGTCCAGGGCGATCAAACTTACGAATCCTCCCGTGCTAGAAATGACCACATTGCGCTCGTCGACAAACTCCAGCCCGCTGAGATCGCCGGGGAAGCAAATCTCCGCCGTACATTTCGGCACGAATTCATTCTCATCGTCAGCGTAATCGTTCCGGACGAGCTTCCACACTTTCAGATTGTTCACGTCCAGATCCCAGCTACCGGTGATGAACGAGTTCGATTCGTCGTACTGCTCCGGGATCCAGCGGATGCGGGATACTTTCTCCGAAATGAAGGTACTGTTCACTTTGGTCGTTTCCGGAACCATTTTCGGGCGGTTTTCGTTCGATCTGGATGCACGGAGAAGGGACCGGTTTGGTAGGATCGATCGTTGCACGCGAGAATAATCAGAGGAAGCACTTCAAAACAAAACAAATTTGATTTAATTATGTATGTGTGTGTGTGCAATCGAAATGCGCGCTGTTTCTGTCATCGCTGTTCAGCTTGTGTTGATTTTGGATGGCGAAAAAGAGTATGGATCACGTTCGCACGTTTATTTTCAGGAAAGTGGTGCTTCATATATTGCGTAATGCAAAACCAGTGCCTGGATTTTATTTTATTTATTGTCGGTCAAGTTGGACACTGCCCGCATTAATGCGAACCATTGCTTGACTTTACCGAAAATGGTTAAAAATCGTTTCTAATCCCTGCTAAAACCTAATTGAAATGGTTATGGAACCTTACATAAACGTTTGGGTGATAAAGTTTTAATCTTATGAATTATGATTTTTTGGAAGTGAACCTTGCAAATAATGGGTTGTTAAGAACCATTACGCCATTACTATTCAAAATAGTTGTTTACTCCATACATTTTCGGAAAAAGAACCATATTAGAACCTTTTTACTTATGGTTTGAGAATTTTAATGGTAATGGCTATGGTAATCAGTAAGGTCCATGGATGCCCCGTAACGTGGGTAGATCACCTTTTCGTGGTGCGTTACGGGATGTAGGATCTACGACCGATTCCTAGTGCTGACTACTTCAAACTAAGGGAACACGATTTTTCAGTAATCCAAGGAACACATCTTAGTCCTTGTTACTTTTTATGCCTTGTTGATAGTGACAAGACTCGGCTTTGTCTACCGAGGATGATCTGGAAACAAGGAAAAAAATGAGTTAGTTGTCTTCATCTATGTGATTTCTAATCTTCTAATCGTTGTTCCCTAGTTTGAAGTGGTTAAGACTAGGGTTCTGATGCATGGTCATTATCGGTGTCATACCTTAATTTTGTTGCTAAGGAATCCAATTTTGACTGACAAAGGGGCGTGCCTTTGGAGGGTGTTTCAACACTCCGAAGGGTATAAATAGCGGGACCTTTCAATTAGAGTCGGATCCTTGCGATAAATGCAAGAGTGGCAACTGTAAAAAAATCGAATACTTCATCATTTCCCAATAGTGATGGAGTAATACCAACAATCAATACGAAACTAACGATTTTAAATTGGCTCACCACTTCAGTAGCCTATTGGTCCCAAGCAAACGATTAACGTACCCTATTCTAGTTGAAATTCTATTACTACACTATGTTTGTTTTGATTCGCTATGAAAGTTTGACAGATAACATCAGGGGTGTGTGGATTCATGCAGAACATACAGGGGTGAGTGAAATAGCTTGGGACTGCTTGGGACCGTTGTTCTGGTACTGAGTGAGCCAAAAATAATTATGATTTTTTTCGGGACCCAGTGGTCTTAGAGTTACCTCTATGGTAATATCAACAATCAATACGAAACTAACGATTTTAAATTGGCTGGAGTGATGGTTTCAAAATTTTGCAAATTTAAATAAAATGCTCCATTTGCAAAATAAAAGCATTTTAAAATTTTGAAACCATCATCACTCTCATAGTTCTTCTATTATCCACGAGTGCCAACTTTGATTTACCAATAGAGGGCTTTAGCACAGAGAACAGACGTTCAAGTTCGGACAGAAACTTGTGTAAAATAAGTGGGAACGTCACCTTTACGTGATGTTAGCATCTCCTGATTTTCTCTATAAATTTTCCACTTTCGACCAATTTGGCGCTAGTATCGATAAATTTTCTGTTGAAAATTTCCACTCGGCGCTACCGTCACTTAGTTTCTAGTGTAAGTTTTGCAACGCCAGCGCCATAATATTGTCAAAGAGAGTTTTTAAGTGGGGAAGTCGCCGTTGGTACCGCTTAAGTCGAATAGTAATCTTTACACAAGTTTTTACATAAATTTAGTTCAACGTCTGTTCTCTGTGCCCGTAGCACGTAAAAACGCCATTACTTTTCAGCTGCGTACCAGGCTTTAATGTAAATTGGAAGGGCAGAATTAGTTGTACTAGGGGTAAGACCCTAGATCCGCCTAATTAGCGGTTGGCACGGGATATGCACATAATAATTACAATTTCAACGATGTTGGTGTTGTAGCAATTAATTTAATAACGACCTAATTCTAACTACATAACTACAAAGAAAATAATCCGGCTACCCTGACTAGAACAACACTCAGGACCGAGGGGGACGACTCTATCTACGATGCAAAAAGGATTGTGTTTTGCTGTAGCTACCTGCGCGCACGCTGAGTAGATAAAAAGAAGATTGATGACGATTCTGAAGATTTCCTGCAAAAACTTGATGAGCGATGCAAGTAGATGCGACAAATCAAAGAAGATTGTTCGAAGATTGATTCGCTAGTGTGAGATTTGTTGAGCATCTAAACTTGAGATTTAGATGTGTCGCCCCCCTCGCTCAGGACAGTCATTCTTATCACATTTCTTGCAATGGTTTTAAACCAAGTATTTTCATTCCGTGATGAAGAACTTTTCGAGAAGAGTTGAACAATTTCAGCCTTTGGACACAGAGAACAGACATGGAGGCTCGAACAAAATTTCTCTAAAAACTTGTGTAAAGATTCCTATTCGACTTAAGCGCCACTAACGGTGACTTCCCCACTTAAAAACCCTCTTTGACAACATGATGGCGCTGGCGTTGCACAAATTACACTAGACACTAAGTGCTAGTAGCGCCAAGTGGCAATTTTCAACAGAAAATTTATCGATACTAGCGCCAAATTGGTCGAAAGTGGAAAATTTATAGAGAAAATCAGGAGATCCTAACACCACGTAACGGCGACGTTCCCACTTATTTTACACAAGTTTCTGACCGAACTTGAACGTCTGTTCTCTGTGGCCGTAGTGTTTTAGCGACGATGTTTAACAGTGAGAATTATTCAATGTTTTATGTCTGTTTGTCTGTGGTTATAGAGATTAGTGACGTTTAACGCACGCACACTAGAGGGAGAAACGCCGTGTAAAGTTGTTTATTATTTTCCTCTGGCTAACCTAAAAATATCAGGCGTAACATTTGATAACGGCACAAAAGCTTTTGTAAACAAAATTTTTAACACGGTGTTTCGTGAAAACCCATTAATGGGTAAAAAATACCCATTTTCAAACCATGTATGCAGCTGTCAAAAAATGGGGGAATTTTGAAATCATAAAATGGGTGGAAAAATACCCATTTAAAGAATCAGTTCACGGTTGAATAATGTATTTTTTACCCATTAAAGGTGAAAAAATACTTTGAAATTTTATCGTCTCATTTCCGTCACCGGCTCATTGGGAATGCAAACCTCGATGCAAACAGTTACTGTCCGCAGCATATTTGGCGAAAGTAAACGATCTCCGGAAAATGTTAGAATCCAAAACGTTGGAGAGGCTTACGGATAAGTCAATACAATGGATAATTTGTATTATAATGTTTCGTGAAAAATTTGAGCGGAACACCTGCATTTATTTTCAATGTTTTAAAAACATTTTTACATCAACGAGCGCTTGCATCCTCCATTTGTAAAAATGGGTATTTTTTCACCCATTTTACGGTAAACACAATATAAGAAAATGGGTGAAAAAACACCCATTTATTGACAGACCACCCATTTACCCATTTATGAGTAAATTATAGTTTATCCAAATGAGGAGGGGCACTTTTAGCGGAAATGGGTATTTTTATACCCATTAATGGGTTTTCGCGAAACACCGTGAAGGCCTAGGTGAAGGCCCTTTACACGCGAACCGAAGTACGCTCAGGCAAACCAACAATATCGTCGGATAGGAGCTACTCTCACCTTTCCGAAAGTGGTTTTGGTTTGCGTGGGTGTACTTTGGTTAGCGTGTAAAGGGCCTTAGAAAGTTTGTTTACAAAAGCTTTTGTGCCGTTATCAAATGTTATGCCTGATATATGAAAGTAGATCTGTCAAAATGAGTTTGACATCGATTTGTTATGTATTTTCCTCGGATATTCACCAACACGCTCTCACATATCGCACCAATACATCCGGACCAGCGTTGCCAGATATACCGATTTCCGAACTATAGACACAGACAAACAGACATAACACTCGCAAGTTTTTCATCGGACAAGCATTTAACGGACAATTTAAAAGAATCGTAGTTGGTAGTACCACCACCTGTGGCGCGCATAGTCAATTCCCTTGCGTTTGACGTTTACACACTACCGCCATCTGTTCAGCGTAGTGCCCACCACAGTATACTCAACAGATGGCGGTAATGTTTTAGCGACGATGTTTTACAGTGAGAAATATTCAATGTGTTATGTCTGTTTGTCTGTGCTATAGATATCGATATACAGATAAGGTTCCTCAGAATACCGATTTTTGAGGTTTTGTACCGATTTATACCGATTTTTTAAATAATCAAAATGATTATTGTCTGCCCGTGCTCGAATTTCGGAGAAAATTATTGGGAGAGACTTGTATATTTTTGAATATCACAAATTTTTATAAAAAAAAGCATCATTAAAAATGGATACTCTTTCGACTAATGTTTCAATTTCCTCACCGTTTTTGGTTACCCATGAATCGATAAACAGTCGATGGCTCTTTCTGGTAATTCCGGGGAATTGAAAAATACTTTTTAAATACTATTTAACTTCCTGGATTATCTTCCAACTTTCCCCTGGAGTTTTCTTACACCTTACATCGTAAATTATTTTACGATTCCTCTCGGAAACTTGCCTTGGAAGCTTCTTCAGCCTTCACTCGAAAGATTCTTCCATCTTCCCCCGCCATTTTTTTTTATCATTTTCCGGAACTTCAGGGATGCTTCCAGATTTTGATTGCGGATCCAACTAGCTGCAGGAACTTTTAAGAAGTTCTGAAACTTCGGAAAAGTCCAAACTTTTGAGTAAGTTTCGATAAATTAAAGAATGTTTCAATAACTTCTGTTAAAACTCTAAAACCCGGTCCAGCGAACTCCAGTGAACTTAAGGAAACATCATAAATATTTTGGATACTTCACAAGTTCAAAGAACTTCTGGGAAATTTAATGGTTTTCAGGACAGTTCCATAAGTTTCAGGAGAATTGAGAGAACTTTAGGAAGCTCCGAGAACATCAGGGCAGTAAAAATTTCAAGTAAATTGCTGAAATTTTAAAGGAGTTCCAACTCAGGCTATTTCCGGAAACTTCAGCAATGTTCCGAGGGACTCATGCAAATTTAAGAAACGTAAGGGAAGTTACACGACCATTAGCACTTTGTGAGAACATTTTATGGGAAGTTCCGTGCTTATTAATGACAGTGTAGATAACATTTAAAAATTAGAAAAATCGGGAAGATCAGAGAACTTCAATGCTGATGTTACAATAAATTCAAGAAAATTGTGATAGCGCTTAAGAAATTTCGTAATGTTCAAGAAAATCTAGAGACCTTCAAAGTTGATTAGAGATATTCCGGTAGTCCCATTATAATCAGAGAAGTTCCAAGTATTTCAAAGATGATCAGAGTACTCCAAAATTGCCATAATAATTTTAAGAAAATTACAAGAACTTTTAAGGAATTCCGAGGAAATATGTAATATGCCTAAGTACATTTCAGAAATGTTCCAAAAACTTCAGGGGCATTGCGGGGTCTTCAGGGATGTTTTATGACCATTTGGAAAATTTTCTGGATCATTATAAATCCCCCAAGAGCTCTTTTTCTTCCGGAATTATGTCCTTGTTTCTTTCTTCTTTTCCGTTAGCGCTCTGGCTTCCGACTTCCTCCAGATTTTTTTTTCCAATCTACCTTAGGAAGTTTCTTCCGTCTTCTTCAGGAAGTTCAATTAAACTTCTTCCAGAAATTTATTTCGTTTAGTTCTATAATTTTGTCCAGTTGTTTTTTTTTTTACTTATATTGGAAGGTTTTCCGAGCTTCTTCTGGCTTCCCCTGTAAATGGCTATTTCTGGAATTTACTTCCGATTTCCGAAATTTGTCTGCCTTCCTTTGAATGTGTAATTCTCTTTCTTCTTTATCTGGATGTTGTTTTTAGCTTCCTCCGGAAGCTAATTCAAACATTCCCCGGAGTTTTCTTCCGGAATTATCCGATCATAGTCCAAAAGTTAAAATTTTTGCTTTCAAAAACGGCAAAATACAAAATTAATTAAAATAGTAAATCCCGATAAATACCGATTTTTCAAAACCTTCGATACCGATAAGCTTTAAAACATTCTGGCAACGCTGATCCGGACGTGAAAATCTCTATTGACGAGTGCACGGATGGATTTGAGTTCACTCACTCGACAAAAAGTGACACAACAGCGGGGCCCTGTTTACTATAAATGAACACATATGTGTTCATTATTAGTAAACAGGGCCCCGCTGTTGTGTCACTTTTTGTCGAGTGAGTGAACTCAAATCCATCCGTGCACTCGTCTATGGAATGTTATGGTCGAGGTACACGCTAAGATCAGTTTACCTAGACGGTACAAAGAGATTACCGATATTGGCCGTAAAATGCACAAACTCACATATGGGTATTTTTTTTTTTAACCCAAATATGGGTTCTTATGAACCATAAATGATTTATTTTTATGCAAATTTGACTTAAATTTACCCATATTTGGGTTAAAAAATTTACCTATATCTGAGTTTGTGCAGTTTACGCCTAATTTAGGTTAAGTAAACCTACATTTGGGTTATCTGATCTTAGCGTGTAGGCAATGTTTACAACATTTTTGCTTCTAACACACCAGCAAGCAGCCTGTTGGCGTGGACCTTATATAAACTTCATTGGTCCAGAATCAGATTTCAACGGATTCAACCAGAAGTGCAAATTAAATTCTGTTTGTTGAAAAGTAAAGAAAACGTTGATAATAAAGCACATATTAATCCATCATTTTTAACTTTCCAGGTAAACGCGAGGAAATGGATTCCGACTCGGAAGATTTGGAAGAGGATTCCTCGAACGAAAGCATGCTGGACGTAATCGAACGGGCGAACGCATTTCTGGGAGCAGCATACTCTTCCTCGGAGTGGTCTTTCCGATCGTCAGCCGGTGAACCTTCCACCTCGTACGGTTCCAGATCGACCAGTGGTGGGCTCAGTCGTCTTGATAGTGATTGTGTTATACTGGAAGCATTCTCCAATGCCTCCTCCACCGTTGATGTGCGCTGCTTTCCTCCGAACGATGTATCCCTGCAATTGGGAAGCCGACGGCGCCGGGCAGATGGTATCCCCGTGGTGGAATCCGTCAGTCTCGATGATACGGTGAACGATCTGGAAGTTAATCTGGCACCGTCACCACCGCGGAAGCCAACGGACAACTCACCGGTGGCACCACCACCACCCGTTCCCGTTTCATGTCCAATATGCTTTGACTCCGTATTCGAACAGCAGGCTGCCTCTACCGTTTGTGGACACATGTTTTGCCATTCGTGCATTACGAAGGAAGTTGAAATCCGTCACAAATGTCCGATGTGCCAACGGCCGCTTAACTCATCACAAGTTATACCGATCTATGTAAACTGAATATTCCGAGGAACATTCGTTGTCGTTCGAAGGTGGGGGCCGTACCCAGCATGAAGTCCTGATCAACTACTGTAGTATTTCTGTTCCAAATTAAATGTTTATTTTTGTACAAATTCAAACAACTTTAATAACCTTTTCACAAGCTTTCTCAAAAACTGTGAAAGTGAAATCCTTGAGAGCTCATGTTTTGCAAGGAAAAATGTATTTATCCATCGCAGCGTTTCTCAATCTATGGGTCGAGGTCCACCTGTGCAATGGGGAGTAATGTAAAGAGAAAATCGATGAAGAGAATAGATCATTGCATGTAGACCCTTTTGAACGCTCACTGTCGATATATATATTATTGGTAATGATGGATGGTGTTCTTATATCGATCCGACCGATTTGATTTCTAAAATATATCCAAATTAAAAATCAATCTATGATTAATCAGCAAACAATCCAATTCCATCAACCTGTTTTTACCAAATAAGTAGGTATCGGTACGTTGTTGTAACAGTTTTTTTTTTCACTGAAGCTGTCCACAAACCAGGTAGACAGTTTTGGGGAAGGAATTGGCGAGTGTCCAAGGCCATACCAATAGTTAGAAATGTGTATGAGGGGGGTCAGGATGTTGAATCTCTTACAAAGATCACGTGGTTTGCAACAGCACCTTGGAATAGCCGAAACTGTAATATCCGCGCTGTGTGCAATTGGCACCTGTCCAGTCCATTCGTCGGTTGACTTTCGTCATTTGCGGTGTGGTAGTTTGTGACTCGTAAGTTCCGAAATTAAGGGTATGAATGGATTGAGTGGATGAACAACCAGAAGCTATGGAAGCTGAGGATCTTTCTAAGCTAAAATCGGCGAGGGCCTGAAATCCTTCCAAAGGTCGCTCAATGACCAGTGGACGCAAACCAGGCGTATATAAACCCCAAAGGCTCACATCGTCTCTGGCTACCGTAATGCTACCAAACATACCATTTTAATAAGTACATGTCATACCACAAAAGTCGTTATTGAACCACTTGGGCATTGGATCATTAAATCACGAATGTGCTTGCTGCTCTATTACCAAACAGGCTCCCTCAAGAGGAATTAACTTTATTGTTTGAAGGCAACCTGGTCGAAGTTGAAGTATGTAATGGTATTTCGGGGATCTGGCATCAGTGCTGAGATTTGTCATTGTCATTGACAGACTTTTGCACGATATTGACAAAATTGTTTTTCACATAGTCAATGATAGACTTGATCCTCAAAAAAATCTTTGTCAAAATCTCATTCATTTTTTCGTCAATGACAAAGATTCACCTGGTAACAGAAAGGGTAATTTCTTGCATTCTGAGTCACATTATTGTTATCCAAGCTGTTCAGGACGTAGATGCTTGTTCACTTTAATGGCTCCATGTAATTGTTTTCCTCAAGCCATTTAATTTAATTTTAAATTTAGCTAATAAACAAATCAGCACATGTTCGTCACTGACAAAAATGCCACTGACAATTGACATGGTTTGCCTTGACAATGACTGTTAGCTCAAACGAGTGACCAAAGCAGAATTTTGAGTATCACCGTGTATTGTCGAAATTGTGCAGCACTGTCTGGCATGTTATCCAGCTTCTCCTTTTTCGACGATGACGGAGGCGAAAGATTTGGAAGCGTCCCAAGTTTCCATGTGTTCCATACATAGATTTTTGCAATGAAATTCATGGTATAGTTTCTCTATGCCAGACACATAATTCTCACTTGGACATATCATCTCTATTGATCACACATACAGTTCATATGAGCATGAGCATGATTGACCGCCCACACGGTTGCTACTCTGTTATTGTCAGATCAGCTGTATTTACACAGATAACCAATAGACGATGCTTGGGACTAGCAATCATCCTCAATGTGTAAAAACTGGTGATCTCAAACTAGGCAATACCAGCACCGGCCGCACCCGAACGCAGGTCAAGAAAGGAATGTGTAGACGTGACACTCGCTTTGATGGAAGCGAGTGTCACCTCCGCACTTCCACGAGGAATCACTGGGATATAGGGTAAGAGCACAGACAAACAGACATAACACTCGCAAGTTGTTCATCGAACAAGCATTTAACGGACAATTAAAAAGTATCGTAGTTGGTAGTACCGCCACTTGTGGCGCGCATTGTCAATTCCCTTGCGTTTGACGTTTAAACACTACCGCCATCTGTTCAGCGTAGTGCCCACCACAGTGTACTCAACAGATGGCGGTTATACTTTAGCGACGAAGTTTTACAGTGAGAAATATTCAATGTGTTATGTCTGTTTGTCTGTGGTAAGAGGGTTGGGTTTGCAGCAGACTTCGTTTTGGTAAACGATAAGCTGAATTGATGTTCTAACGATCATATAACGCGAACGAGCTTGGGGTTGAACCCACGGTCTTCTGCTCAGTAAGCAAAAAAGCTTACCAGTAAGCAAAAACGGTCGCTCTAAGGTCACTGTGCCTCTAAATCACAACAAACTATATACAGACAAACAGACATAACACATTGAATATTTCTCACTGTAAAACATCGTCGGTAAAACATTACCGCCATCTGCTGAGTACACTGTGGTGGGCACTTCGCTGAACAGATGGCGGTAGTGTGTAAACGTCAAACGCAAGGGAATTGACTATGCACGCCACATGTGGCGGTACTACCAACTACGATACTACGATACTAACAACTTGCGAGTGTTATGTCTGTTTGTCTGTTTATTTGTTTGTTTATTTGTTATGGTTGTATCAACAGACTAGAAATAGTCCCAATGATGTGTTGTAAAAAGTACAGATTATACAGACGACATACATATACTACAGTTACTACAGTTACAAACGAAAATAACTTGGAAAGCATTGTCAAGTTACTAAAAATTTATAAGTCTTAAATTTTACACTTAGCTGTTGGGTATCAAGCGCCTTCGGTCAGCAAAAAAGGCAGAGAATCTTCGGCCAAGCATATTCCGTGTCAAGTGGAAATCGTACATCGACGCTACTCGGTTGAACACTAGCTGCAAGCCGTAAATAGCGCTCCCTATGCTATAATTAGTTCGAAGAAGTTAGTCTCAGCATAAGACTGTTGCGTAGTGATCGAGGTTGAACATTAATGTTCACTTGTTGCAGAATTGCTTCGCAGTCAATTCTTCCTTGCAGAGTATCGGCGACGGTTAAGGCTCTGAAAACATCTCTTCGGATACGTAAGGGCTCGATATTGATCAATTGGCAGCGATTCTCGTAGCTTGGAAGACGAAGTGGGTATCTCCAAGGCAGCTTACGGAGCGCGAAGCGAAGAAATCGTCGTTGAACAGATTCAATTCGCTCGGCCCCATTATTGTAGTTCGGGCTCCAGACAGCAGAGCAGTATTCCAACGTAGATCGTACGAGAGAGCAATAGAGCGATTTCAAGCAGTAAATGTCCGTGAAGTTCTTAGTAATCTTGAAGACAAACCCAAGCGTTCCGTACGCTTTGTCGACGACATACGATATGGTGTGAGTATGTCAGCTTTGAGTCTAGAAAAACGCCTAAGTCTTTCACGCAGTGCACCCGTTCGATAGTCGTGCCTAGTAGTTTGTAGTTGAACATAATCGGTTGTTTCTTGCGGGAGAAAGTAATAACTGTACACTTAGCTGGGTTGACCACCAGTCGGTTTAGACTACACCAGTCAGCAAAGATGTCAATCTGATTTTGGAGAGAACGGCAGTCGGCGAGTGAGCGGATGCGCAGAAAAACTTTCAGATCGTCTGCAAACGATAATCGTGGCTCTGTGATAACATGGTGAACGTCGTCGAAGTAGAGGAGAAATACCAATGGTCCCAGATGGCTGCCCTGAGGTATACCGGACTTTGCGCAGAAGCTTGCTGAGCGACAAGTACCCAAAGTTACTGTCAATTGGCGCTCCGTGAGGTATGAACGAAACCATCTCAAAAGATTTCCACCGATCCCTAGCCTATCAAGCTTAGCGATCGCAATTTCGTGGTTCAGCTTATCGAAGGCTGCCGTAAGATCTGTGTAGATAACGTCCGTTTGGGTCCGAGCAATCAAACTGTCTGTGATGTAAGACGTTAGGCACAGCAGGTTCGTAGTTGTGGAACGCCCAGTTATGAATCCGTGTTGATCTGTACTTAGATATTGCCTGCAATGCGCATTTAGGGACTCTATGACAACCAATTCAAAAAGTTTTGATACAGCACTCAGCGATGTGATTCCCCGGTAGTTGTTTACGTCGCGTTTGCTTCCCTTTTTATGAACAGGAAACATATCCGCAGTCTTCCAGCAAGCATGCCGCTGAAAAGAGAGAGCTGGAATATGCGGCGCAGTGGATCTAAAAGACAAGTGATGTTCTTTTTAAGAATAATCGACGGAACACCATCGGGTCCAGCCTTAGTTGAAGTCTTAAGTTTAGATGCTGCTCTAGAAATCGTATCTGTAGTGGCTTCGACCATGCTGAGCGTTTGGTTGATCAAAGGAACATTACTGGCCGCGGAAGTAATGATATTAGCGGAGAGTTGCTCGGCTACAAACACACTAGCAAATTTGGCTGAGAACAGGTTGCAAATGTCTTGTTGATTTCCAGCAGTTTCACCTTTAAAAATCATGGAAGAGGGTAAGCCGACTTCCCTGCGTTGCTCATTTACGAAGTTCCAGAAGGATTTCGGGTGTGATTTTAGCCGCCGTTGAATCCTCCTTTGATAGCGTTGAAAACAGAGACGACTTAACCGCTTATACTCGTGCGTGGTTGAGTCTGACATAGTAGCATTTCAGTGGCAGTGTGCGGAGTTTAGTAAATCTTCTGAGAGCAGCCTTCTTAGTTCTTTTCAACGAGCGAAGATCTTTAGTCATCCACGGGACGCGAGAGTCGATATGGATGATCTTTTTGGAAACGTGTCTGTCAATGACATATGCCAAGACGTGAGAAAAGGTTTGTGCAGCAATGTTGACGTCTACAGGATCTAGAATATGCTCCCAATCTAGATTAGACAGCACATGGACGATACTGCAATGGTCAGCTCTACGGAAGTCATATGACACAGCGTTTGGAGTGCTGGTGAAATCATGGACAATATTATTTTCGATCACGATAACTAAAGCAGGGTGATGATGCACTACCTGTGCTATAACTATATATATGACCGACGATCGTTTCATTATGGGTTGCAAGAAGCTATTAAAATGAAATGACATCCCCGAAGCAGTTAACAATGTTTTACTTTTCCGAATAGTTTCGTCGAGTTCTATTATTAAGGAATTTCTACAGTAGTGGCCTGGGATAGATCAATTCCGTAATGCAACGAGGATTAGGTTCGAACCCCAGATTTTCCGCTCAATAAGCAAAAACGGTTCCCAAGTTACAATTTCCAGTTGAAGAAACGTTTTCGTTTTGATTTTGTTCAGCTGCATGTTGAATAATAATTGCACAATGTGTTCACCACAACTTTTATAAAACCCTTGTTTACACTGGTTTGGAGAACCTATACAACTGCAACACAAAGGTGTTGTCTAACGTATTCAGTAAAACGTTTACCCAAAATCAATTTCTTGTTGAAGAAACGCTTCCATTGTGATTTTATTCAACTGCATGCTGAATAATAACTGTACAATTTGTTTATTACAACTTCTGTAAAACTCTTGTTTACACTGGTTTGGAGAACCTGTCCAACTACAGCATTATATGTATACGCGGTATAGGAGTAGAAGCAACTTTTATACAACGTTTATAGATACATATTTAAACTCAAGCTTTATTATTTTGGTGAAAGCTCTTATACAACGTTTGTATTAGACACTTCTTGACAGCTGCTTTAAAATTTAGTAGAGAGTAAACCTGAGAGGCGTTTGTTGCACTCTGTTATGACTCCTAAATAATCATTGTACAGCAAGCGGTGAAAAGCGTTTATAGCACTTTTCAATGACTCCTTAACAACCGGATAGAAGCAACTTTTATACAACGTTTATAGATACATATTTAAAGTCAAGCTTTATTGTTTTGGTGAAAGCTCTTATACAACGTTTGTAGACACTTCCTGACAGCTGCTTTGAAATTTAGTAGAGAGTAAACCTGAGAGGCGTTTGTTACACTCTTTTATGACTCCTAAATATTAATTGAACAGCAAGCGGTGAAAAGCGTTTATAACACTTTTCAATGACTCCTTAATAACCGTTGTATAAGTACTCATAATATTCACAGATTAAAATTAGTTTAACAATTGTCGTGGTACGCCAAAATAATTGCTTGTACAGTTTTTATTAATTTAATTTATTTGTGCACATTGAAAAAATATGTAATTATGCCATAATTCACATTCTGTGATCATGGAGGAAGTAATAACAACCATCTGTTTAATATTTGATTTATATTCTTTCAATTAATCTTTCTAATCATTAATTGAAAGAATTTATCTAGAAATGTTATCGTTGATTATATGATATATGTCTTAAATTAATGTTTGCATTTATTAATAAAACCTATATATAATTTACCTCTACTCCACCGAGGGTTTCTCGAAGCAAGATTCGAACTCATGATCCCGGATTGCCAGCCGCTTCTGTTTCCATCTGCTCTATTCTTGAATACATATTTTGATCATATGAGAGAAGTATATGAAGCTCATTTTGAGTGACTTCTCTTGCAGTCGAATAATCATTGCCTTATGGTCATATAAACGTGCCTATCACTTGTGCTATTTTTAGCAACAAAATTGTGGTTGGTGGTTGGTCGAACGTAAACAATCATTTAAGAGTGCTCCAAGCAGTTTTTGAAGCTTTTAACCAAATGACAATACAACTACATTCTTGTACAACTCTGGAAGCTATTATTCAACGTTTGATCAACTCAGGTGTTGTATAAGAGCTCCCAATGGTTTGTTTTGATGCGTTTATTTCACGTTCTATATAGCTCTTGTCAATCAGTTTAACAAAGGTGCTATAAATGTTATCGTAGGTCTTATAAAGCATATAGTTAAACCGAACGTAAACAATCATTTAAGAGTGCTCCAAGCAGCTTTTGAAGCGTTTAACCAAAAAGGCAATACAACTACATTCTTGTACAACTCTGGAAGCTATTATTCAACGTTTGATCAACTCAGGTGTTTTATAAGAGCTCTCAATTGTTTGTTGGGTTGTTCTATAGCCACCGTGCTCCTCACATTACCACAATCTACGACCGACTTAACAAAAAGCTATTCAAATGAAGTGACGTCCGAGAGCAGTTAACCTAGCAGTTAACAATGTTGTTCAAACTGGATCACGCATACACCCTTTCTGTAATTCCAAACTCAACATACGCATTCTTTTGATCGCAACAACCCAACTACACACGACGCGCGAAAATCGCATTGAAGCATTAATACACTATCGATCAGATCCAAAACACTCCCATTATACCCCCTGAATCTGTGAAATTAGTTTGCCTACGGGTTATCAGAAAATTTTCATAATTCAAAATGGATACCCAAAAAGGCCCCACACACCCCGACCAATTCTCATGGACGCTCTCCTCCATTAGTGAATCGTCATCAATTTATTAATTATGATTTTTTTAGCAAAATAATAACTTCACTGTTTGAAACTAAACTAACAAATTGACAGCTCGCCCCCGTACAAACTCTCACCGAGGTGAGGTGGTTCCTTGCATTTTTAACCATTTTTGTTAAGGTCAAGTTAATCGATTTTCAGGTTCAAATCAATCCGAGTTTAATCGCTTGCTTGTTGTTCGACGGACGATCATCGACACATCCCTAGCTACCATTGCTCGTACCATCCGTCAGGTGGCTGTCAATGTCGCAGCCATCATGCGACGATGTTCGTGACGACGACGAAAAAGGTTCAACATATTTTGCTCGCTTCTCTTCGTCGACGGTCGCATCCATCCATCACACAGTAGTTTTTGCACGGCACGGGCACTAGCCTTTTTTCGGATCGGATTCTGCTGAAGAACAAACTTCCAGTGGCAGTCAGTGGAAAAATAGCAAGTGTTTTCGGATTCGGATTCGTGCGTGCTTCCGCGGCGGAAAAACGGAAAACCAGCAATAGCAGTGAGTGAGAGTGATCAGAAGTAATGTAGCAAAAGTCTGTGCGGTGAGGATTTTCCTCTGGGGCTGCTGTTCTGCTATTTTGCACCCTCTGGGGCGCTGAAAAAAGAAGAAGAAGAAAAAGGCACACTCACGTACAAGTAGTGGCAGGAGGAGTGCGGATTGGAACAGTGTTCGAAGGGAAAAACGCGATTACCTAGGTGGAAGAATTTTCCCTTTTTTTGCATTCCAGCAAGGAGGAAAAAAAACGGGCTCTGTTCCGGGATGGTGCGATAGTGGTTTAAATGGTGTGTATCGAAAATGGAGTAGTAGCAGCAAATAATCGACGACCAGCGGAGAGTGTTCTTCTGACGACTGTGAAAGCTAAAAAAGGTTACTCCGAGTAACCTGTATTAGCGAGAAGGAAAAAAAATCACGAAGAAAACGACGACGACGATAAAAAAGCGAATCACTTTGGTTTGGTGGAGGAAAAAGAAGCAAACGAAGAAGCTCCGAAAGCAACAGAGCGAGTAAAGAGTGTAGTGTACAGTAGTTTGATGTGGTGTGGCGAAGAAATAAAGGGAAGAAGCACACCTTGGTCGATAGGTTTTAGCGAATATATTTTTCTTCAATCAGGAAGGGCAACCTTGTGCCCCTATCGCGCGGGTCGAGATCGGGGGTGTGGGTGGGAAAAAGTGAAAATTTTCGATAGCAATTTGTGCACGGAAGGCAGGAGTCAACCCTAGATTTTCGGACGGAAGCGGAAAACGGGGACGCAGCCAGCCGTTCCTGTGGTCACAGAAAGGCACGGACGATGCCGAAATGTGATGTCAAAACCAGATACATCCCAGCGACCTTCGCCTGGACGCTCCTGTTGGGCACAACGTTCCTGTTTTTCTACTATCCGTGAGTAAACTCAGTTATCATTATCAGCACTCTCTATAGGTACTGGTGGCAATGTCATTGACTCAGTATGACTGATGGCGATGTATTAAGAGAGTGTGTTGTGTTGAAAGGTGGATTTTTTCACGTCTGCAGTTTCTTTAGTTCGAATAACGTACTGATTTTAATTTCGTTACTCAGTTATTGTTGGGCTGTGGTTCAAGGTTGCACGAAAATCCGCAGGATTTGTAATTGACATTTTATTTAGTCTACGATACCCTGCTGGTAGAACCTCCCCAACATGTATAATCAGTAGACTTAACTTGGTGTGCAAGTCATAAATATAATTTTGTGTGTGTGGATTGGTAGACTTAATCTGAACTTAACTTGTTATCCTAAATTATGGTTTATGGTCAACGACCTCTAGACTTGTCCTAAAAGTCTTTTAGTTCCATTCTGAAAGTCTCCCAAACATGAGTTATTAAATAATCCTTGACCTTATAAAGGGTTTTTCTCCTATCATCTGAGTTATCTTATTGACTTTTTGGACGTCACCCTAATTTGAACTTTCTTTGTTCTTCTTAAATTCTATCGATTTATAACAGTTTATAAGTCGCAGGAAAACCTCTAGATGTTCCCTGAACATGTGCTCAAAGTCCGCTTGACATTCAGTGGATGGAATATATTTGACATAATATTGTACATACCTCAACAGTTCTATGGTTTAGGCCTTGAGGCCTGAATGTTACTCTGAGCATAAGGTAGAAGTTCTAGTAGTAAATGCAATGCGGCCTATAAGCCTATAATATGAATTTTAGACTCCCTTAGCTCAGTCGGTAAAGACGCAGTTACAAAGCAAGACCATGCTGGAGGTGGCTGGGTTCGATTCCCGGTCCGGTCTAGTAATTTGGAGAGAGATGTCTAGGAAAGAAGATGAATTCTAGACTCTAGAACTTGCTATAGAACTCTACTTAAGATGTCTTAGATGTCGGTGAAATCATCGCGTTTTACAATTCCCCTGAACTTATCCTAGAAGCATTCTGACTTTTTCTTGTAGATCTCTTGAACCTTGTGTGGAGGCTATTTCTAGCGTTCAGACTCAATTCTAGCGTTCAGACTGTAATGAATCTATCCGGAAAATCCTGTTTTGTACCTTCTTTGAAAGTGTGCTGGGTTTGTTGTGATCTAGTCTGAACATGTGAATTAGTCCTCTGGACTTGCCTTGGATGTTCTATCGATCTTTCGTTCCAAGCCTTCCGTTTACCTTATTCTAAATAATTACTAAACCTCTGGAAGTCTTTAGCTGCCCAGAAAGTCTACTAGATTAGTCTAGTAATGGAAGTTCTCTAAGTGTATCCTACAAAACCGATTATTTTACTCTCGACGTTCTCGTAAATTTCCCAGCAGGTATTTTTTAAGCTGTGGATTTTTCCTGGAAACCCTAAGAACTTGGTTTGCCATTGGAATACCCTGAAGCTATCCTGCAAATCCCTAGAAGTCCTCTAAACTTTTCCTGCATCGCTTCCTCGGATTGCTTTCTGAATTTCCCACATATACAGAAAATATGCCCTGAAATACTCCAAGATTTGTTGTGGAAAAGCATAAAATCTACTATGTTAATTGACTTTTGGATCTCCTTTCCATATGTCCTAGATTTGTTGAAAAACTTTGTTCATTGGACTTGCCCTGGAGGTTCTATTGAACTGTTTATCCAAGACTTTTGGCTTGTATTTTTGCAAGGATGTCCACTTAAAAAAAGGGCTTCTGGGCTAGCCTTGGGAAAAAAAATCTAAACGTAGGTACCTACCAAACCAATTGCCTGTTCTGGAAATCCACCATTTCGAACTTACTTTCCAACTTCTTTGAATTTGTCACTTTTAAGCAAGGTTTTTCTTGAGATGCTACACTAGACTTTCCATTTAGTTCCACTACCTTATTTGCTTATCCTCGACAGATACGCGTATTTCGTCTACAATGTGCAGACTTCTTCTAAATGCTCGACTAGTCTTTCTTTATACAGGTATTCCACTAAGATGCCAACATTCATCAGGATTTACACTAGACTTGTTAGGGAACTTCATTCAAATTATCCCGATAACCGTTCTCTGGATCTTCTTTAGACGCTCCCTGTATTTCTTGTGGACTAACCTTGCCCTAGACAGAACTTTTCGGCTTCGGTTGTCCTCTCCATTTGCTCTTGACTCTCATTCTGGAAGTCTTTTGGATGTATACTAAATTTGTTGTGAACTACTGTTGTTCTGGACTGAACGTTGGAACTTGCGATGTTCTGAATATACTCTGGAAGCTCTTAACATGCTCTGGAAATCGACTGATCCAGATTCTGACGTCCACGATATTACTTGATTTGTTATGAAAATCTTAATAGAATTTTCCCTGATTTGTACAGGAAGTTCTCCTAGAGAACCCTCTAGCATCACTTATCATTTGCCGTGGATAACACACTCCAAACATGTTCTTATAGTCTACTGAATTTACCTCAGAAATACTATGGATTGGTTTTAGAGACCTTTTGGTCTTCTCATGGTGGTGGTCCGGGCATACCTTAGAGGTCCTTGGGCTGAAAGTTCGCTGAGTTTACACTGGATTTGTCCTGGAAGTTCTCTTGACTTATTCTTCTGCACTTTCCTGTTGAATTTGAACTGTCTGGAGGTCTTCTCTACACGTGGAACTCGAAGAAATCCCCTAGGGGAGTTTGAAGAACTTCAGGAGAAAGTTGAGGTAGCTCGATGAGAAGTCCTGGGATCTTCTTATTAAAAGTTTTGAGACCTTTAAGTAGAAAACATCCTGTTGCTGTTTTGATAAATTTGCGGGGCTTCAAGCTTCATTGGGAAGTAGCCGTAACATCAAAGGCAACTTCGTCGTAGAAACTCACAAAGTATCTCTTAGACTCATGGGAGAAGCTCTGACAACTCTAATTTTTTTAAATTTCTCATTGAAGCTGCCTGAACGTTAATCAAGTTCCCTTATTGTTTCTTCGAAGACGTCCTGCTATTTTTTTTAAACTCAACATTCTAAATGTAATCTCATGAGTATCTACATGCAAATTAAACGTCTTCAGCAAAATTTGAAGAACTTAAAAGAAAAGAAAAGCTTAAATAAATTCTCCAATTTCTGAGTAAAAGTTCCAGCAGAAGCAAGCTTCAGCGAACCTGAAAGTAAATTAGACCGAATTTCAGTGAAGCTCGCACCGAAATCTGAAGGAGTTCCGGCAAAACTTCCGAGAAGTTTAAAGCAATTCAGACAAAACTTCCAAGAAATCAGGCAGAACTTCCAAGAAGTTCAGGCTGAACTTCCGAGAAGTTTCGGCAGAATTACCGAATAGTTCAGACAGATCTTCCGAGAAGTTCAAGCAGAACTTCCGAAAAATTCAGGCAGAACTTCCGAAAAATTCAGGCAGAACTTCCGAGAAGTTCAGACAAAACTTCCGAATAGTTCAGACAGAACTTCCGAATAGTTCATACAGAACTTCCCAGACAGAATTTCTCCAGAAGTTTAGGCAGAACTTCTCCATAAGTTCTAGCAGAACTTCTCCAGAAGTTCAGGCAAAACTTCTCCGGAAGTTGAGGCACAATATTTCCAGAAGTTCAGGCAGAACTTCTCCAGAAGTGCAGGCAGGATTTCTCCAGAAGTTCAAGCAGAACATCCCCAGAAGTTCAGGCAGAACATCTCCAGAAGTTGAGGTAGAATTTATCCAGAAGTTCAGGCAGAACTTTTCCAGAAGCTGGGGTAAAACTTTTCCAGAAGTCCAGGCAAAAATTCTCCATAAGTTCAGACAGAACTTCTCCAGAAGTTCGAACAGAACTTCTGCAGAAGTTCGAGCAGAACTTCTCCAGAAGTTCAGGCAGAATTTCTCCTGAAGTTGAGGCAGAACTTCTCCAGAAGTTCAGGCAGAAATTCTCCATAAGTTCAGGCAGAACTTTTTCAGAAGTTCAGGCAGAACTTCTCCAGAAACTGAGGCAGAACTTTTCCAGAAGTTAAGGCAGAAATTCTCCATAAGTTCAGGCAGAATTTGTTCAGAATTTCAGGTAGAACTTCTCCAAAAGCTCAGGCAGATTTTCTATAGAAGTTCAGGTAGAACTTCTCCAGAAGTTCGGGTAAAAGTTTTCCAGAAGTTCAGGCAGAACTTCTTCAGAAGTTAAGGCAAAACTTCTCCAGAAGTTGAGGCAGAACTTTTCTAGAAGTTCAGGCAAAACTTCTCCAGAAGTTCAGGTAGTATTTCACAAGAAGTACAGGCAGAAATTTTCCAGAAGCTGAGGCAGAGCTTTTCCAGAAGTTCAGGCCGAAAGTCTCCATAAGTTCAGGCAGAACTTCTCCAGAAGTTCAGGCAAAAATTTTCCATAAGTTCCGGCAGAATTTCTCCTGAAGTTGAGGCAGAACTTCTCCAGAAGCTGAGACAGAACTTTTCCAGAAGCTCAGGTAAAAATTCTCCATAAATTCAGGCAGAACTTTTTCAGAAGTTCAGGCAGAACTTCTCCAGAATGCAGGCAGAATTTCTCCTGAAGTTCAGGCAGAAATTCTCCATATGTTCCGGCAGAACTTCTCCTGAAGTTGAAGCAGAACTTCTCCAGAAGCTGAGGCAGAACTTCCCCAGAAGTTCAGGCAGAACTTCCCCAGAAGTTCAGGCAGAACTTCCCCAGAAGTTCAGGCAGAACTTCCCCAGAAGTTCAGGCAGAACTTCCCCAGAAGTTCAGGCAGAACTTCCCCAGAAGTTCAGGCAGAACTTCCCCAGAAGTTCAGGCAGAACTTCCCCAGAAGTTCAGGCAGAACTTCTCCAGAAGTTCAGGCGAAAATTCCCCATAAGTTCCGGCAGAATTTCTCCATAATTTCAGGCAGAACTTCTCCAGAAGCTGAGGCAGAACTTCTCCAGAAGCTGAGACAGAACTGTTCCAGAAGTTCAGGTGAAAAATTCTCCATAAATTCAGGCAGAACTTTTTCAGATGTTCTGGCAGAACTTCTCCAGAATGCAGGCAGAATTTCTCCTGAAGTTCAGGCAGAAATTCTCC